AATATCTGACCCTCCTTTCTATGTCTAAAGAGCAGGTCAAGTGTTTTCTCTTCCGAGTCATCATCCTGCCAGGGTCTTCTCTCTTTCATATCCCTCTCCTCTATGGACTCCTTGCTCTCACCCATAGCTTTGGTTCATATATGACCACCTGGGCTTCTCCTTGACCTTGTGTGTGACATTCAGTAAGTGACACCTCCTCCACTGCAAGGCTCTTGTCACTCATGGCATGGCTCACACACTGATGATTTCATTGTTGGTCTCATTGAGTCAAACCTGTTCTCAACAGGGACCTAGATCATCACTGTGGGATCTTCTGCTCAGCCACACTGGCGAGATCGCCAGTTTCAGAAATTTACGTCCCCATTTCCAGCTCTCAGTCTCTGCCTCCCTCTTTCAACTTTGGTTTGATGAAAAGACTTCCATGGCCTGTGACAGTAAGCACCACTGTGTGGCCATTTGAGAATTACGGCAATTCTCAACCACATCAAAGTCATCATGTTGATTAGAAAATGGATATAAGATAGAATTGTCAGGGCTGGAGAGATGGCTCAGCGGTTAAGAACACTTACTGTTCTTCCAGAGGACCCAGGTTTGATTCCCAGCACCCACAATGTGGCTAATACATGTCTTTAACTCCAGTTCCAGGGGAGCCAATGCCCCCTTCTGGCCTCTGCGGGCACCAGGCACTCATTGGTATACTCACATACAAGGAGGCAAAACACTCATACACATAAAAACAAGTGAAAAAGTTCGCTGCAATCTGGGCTTGTCAGCTTTTCCTTTCTCTTTTTGTCAGGCTCTCCTGGCTAACCTGAGGTGGCGTCTTCTGCTGGCAACTGATGATGCTTCAGAATTCTTAGATCCTATTGGACAGTAGTGGCAGCCAGCGGGGAGAACCTGGGATTTCAGTCCCAGAACTACAGGGGCCTGAAGAGAGACTGAAAGAGCAGCAGAGCCCTGGGGCTTCCCACTGGGGATTCTGATTCTTCTCCTTCTCCTCATAATACTCTCATCTTATGGGAACCTGCCCATAAGATTCTATGTCAGTGGTGTCAGCATACACAAGTCCCATGCAAACTCAGCAAGAGAACTGGGGAATAACCCAGCATAGAACTGGGAAAATAAACAGCAGAGCCCAGTCTTACCTGAAGAAATATTGGCCACTCATTGCTGCTAGGTGAGGAAGAGCTGATCTTCCTAAAACAAGGGACTCTAGATAGGCTGAGTAGACCTCAGTGGATGGACTTGTACTGGGGAATGGCTGGGGACACTGACAACACAGTGGGCCTTATGACATAGTATATAGGCTCCAGTGGGGTGGGGTACGGGAGGGTTCCAGTGGGTACAGGGGTATAAAGATGATTAAGCTTGTTTGAGATGTCCTGTATGAAGCACACAAAAATTTCAATAATAAAAACTAATCTTTTAAAAAAGTATGTCTACTCCCTAATAAACATTTAGCAGCCTTTTAGGTTTAGCTGAGAACAATCCAATAAGGACCGCAAATAGAAGAATGTGATTTTCATTAATCATTTGAAATATTAGAATAAGATTTAGATCTTCTTACCGTACACGAGTAGCTCTGTAAATCTAAGTTCTCTAGAACAGAGCTTTCTAGAGCGCAGTGACATTGTTTAAGATTCAGTGATGGGCTGGGGGGATGGTTCAGTAGTTTAGAGTGATTACTGTTCTTCCAGAGACCCGAGTTCAGTTCCTAGCACACATGTCAGGCAGCAAACAACTAACCGTAACCGAAACTCTGGCTCCAGGGGATCCGACAACCTCTTCTGGCTCCCTCAGGCACCGCACATACCCATACGCATACCCACACACAGGCAAATAATTTTAATTAATAAAAATAAATATCAAAAAAGATCATTCAATGAGTGAAGACAGAGTACATAGCCACTGCAAGTACAACAAACAAGATAACTTGGAATTTTTATAGGATTCTTTCTGTGAAAAAAGCTGAGGCATTTTAAATAAACAATTAAAAAATTTAATGTCAGGCATGGTGATACGTGGTGGATCTCTGTGAATGTGAAGCCAAACTGGTTTATGTAGCAAGCTTCAGGCCAGCCAGGGCAGTATAGTGAGACCTTGTCTCAAAAAAAAATTGTTTCCCTGGAATGTCCTGAGAATTTTGAGAATTTGGGGGAAGCCAGTGACAAACTTGGAATGTTAGGGGTGTCAAAGTGATTGGGTGAGTTTCCTGAGGATACACAGCCCTGTCACACCCTGGTCTCAATCCGACTAAGTCTTAAGAGGCAGGGAGTGAGCACACTTTCATGAATCTCTACACTCAGGGAGAGGAGAGGGGTGTCTAAGAGTCAAGGTGGGAAAGTTGAGGTACCACGGTGTGCATGTGGGTTGTTCTGCTGTGCCAAAGGAGTCAGCATTCAACTGCAGGTTTATGATTGTTTTCAGGTAGGCTCACACTTAAAGAGGGGAACGGATTTGCCCAATGTAATGTAGCATGTGGCATCTCTAGGTCTGAAACTCTGTCTCCTCAGTCCAGGGCAATTTTATCCTCTGTCTCCTCTAAGCATACATTCTGTTCAGCTAGTGGGAACAGACTGCTGACAGTCTGGTCACTTAGCACCAACCTTGACTGTCCCCTTCTTGGGTATCCTTGTTCTAGGGAGGCCTGCAAATCTTCAAAGCAGTGGGAGAAGGCCAGCAAGCATCATGGATCCTCAAGCCAGTGGAGGCCTGGACTATGGTAAGGATTGGGAGTGGGGAGGAGGGTTGTCACCCAGGGCAAAGATCTTATCATAAGGTACTGTTCAATAATGTAGAACCAGGAGCATAAATTAATGGGAAGGGGCATCTCTGAACTGAAAGTGTTTTTTTTTTATTGAGTCTATGCCAGAAAAAGTGAAAGCAAATTCCCTAGAACAAAGGTTGTTGCTAAATTGGACAACACATCAGCACCAGCCGGGGATTTCTTCCTCATCCGCTGACATATAAGCTGGGCTTGACGTCTCCGGTTTCACTCAGCCACTTGCTTCTGACTACAGAGATGACTTCCAGAATCTGTGTAAGTTAGGGTCTGACAAAAGGGATGGGGAACAGCAAAAGCATTTCAAGAATTGGGGAGACAGCTCCTCAGTGCACAAGGGCCAGTGCCCTGTAGGATGAGGGGGGTGGGTGGGTTCCCTGCAGGAGGCCAGGCCCGCATGGATAGCTGTAGTAGGGGACGACAGGGCTCTAGAGAGAAGCCAGTCACTTGACTCTTGGATCCTCTTGTGAATCAAATCTTAGCTACCAGTTGGGAGAAATGATAGGATATGGGCTGGCAAAATTCAGAATCATAAAAACATTTTCAGAGTTCGCAAACTTAAGCTTTTTTCTCCTCTCCTGGGAGAGCTTCACAGATCTTACTAATCTTTTTTTCACTGACCTAGTTCATTACCTTAAGCAAGAATATATGTTTCATGATGAGAACCTGGAATGAGGGCTGTGCTTAGTACAGGACAGACCCTCCACTGGAGAAGCAACTAGAACATCTGGGTTGGGGTATATTTCTGAATGGAGGATGAGGTGTTTTTCCCAGGGTTATAGGGGTGATCTCCCCTGCATCTTCCAGAACTCTCCAATAACTGAAGTAAAAATTACAGTTCCTGTCTTCCATGAGTAAATTCCTAGTTAATCCCTATTGGAATATAATAGAGATTATATTCTATAACAGTTAGATATAAAAATAGAAGAAATATAGATTAACAGTGCTGAACAGCACCACATAGATGTTTTCAGAAAGCAGTGGGGCATTACTAAGAGCCTTGCAGTGTGGAGATCATGTATGCTAAACAGGCTTCCTTCTGACAGGTCAGAGGGCATGGCTGAGGGCATCCCAGGGGGTGCTGAGTCTTGGAACTCTGCTTTGGGAGATGTTTAAAGAGTCCACTTTTTTTTTGAAACCTTGCAGTGGTTTCACTTTTTAACTTTAATTGCTAGTGTGATTCTCTTTACTATTGAATGTCTTTTACTTATTCTTTGACAGATTCATACATGTATGCAAACATGTAGCAAATCACTCATTTCATTTGGAGAGGGATTAGCTGTGTGGCTCAGGAGGAATGAGACCAAGGTTCTTCTTTGTGGTGTAATCTGGGGTTTATCTCAGATATAGAGGGATAGAGATTGTTAGGAAGAAACTTGGAGGGGGGGGTCAAGCAAGCAAAAAGAAGAAGGTGGGGAGTGGGGTATAAGGCATTCTAGGTCACCGTCTCCTGGTTTTCTCTGCTCAGGTCCGCTCTGAACAATGGCCATTAATGACCTTTGATACCAGCATGGATGACAGAGTGAAGAAGATCAATGAACATATCAGATCCAAGACCAAGGTTCCGGTGCTGGACCAGGTCCTTCTGCTGGGCTCCAAGGCCCTGAATCCCCAGAGAAAGCTGTCGTCTTATGGCATTGACAAAGAGACGACCATCCACCTCACCCTGAAGGTGGTAGGGCCCAGTGATGAGGAGCTGTCCTTGTTTCTGGTGGAGTCAGGCTCTGAGGGGCAGCGGCACCTCCTCCAGGTACGAAGGTCCAGCTCAGTGGCCCAGGTGAAAGAGATGATCCAGAGTGTGACCGCTATGATCCCAAAGAAACAGATTGTGACTTGCAATGGCAAGAGACTGGAAGATGGGAAGGTCATGGCTGACTACAACATCAGAAGGGGCAGTTTGCTCTTTCTCACGGGGTACTGTATTGGGGGGTGACTATATGGATGAGGCAATAACAGAGGCAAAGAGCTGGTTTCCTTTTAGGTCTTACCAATTACATGTTTTGAAAATGTCTAAAAGTCAAGGAGAATGGGATAAATAAAGATTTGAGGTGGGGTGAAGTGCATGAAGAATATTCGTCATGTCTGTGAGTCCTTTTTTTCTGACATAATTGATTTATGGCAGTATTGTTGATATTACTGAGAATAGAGAATGAAACTCTAGCTGGGTGTGGTGGCGCACACTTTTAATCCCAGCACTCGGGAAGCAGAGGCAGGTGGATCTCTGTAAGTTTTAGGCCAGTCTGGTCTATATCAACAGTTCCAGGCCAGCCCAGGAACTATACAGTGAGACCCTCTCTAAATAAAAATAAATAATAAATAAATAAAAATAAATAAATAAAATGAAGACACATAAAAGACAACATTTACAATTTGC